TATATATATATATATATATATATATATATATATATATATATATATATATATATATATATATTGGGTAAAACTTGTAAATGCATGTAAATACTTTTCTCAAAAACAAACTTTTTTTTACATGCAACATTTCAAGCGCCAATCATTCTTCTAGCAAGACTCTAATAATTGTACAATCAAATTTTGATTAAAAAATTTAAGCAAAACTTTTTTTTATAAAACTTTGCATATCAGTGCTTTTTTATAATAAAAATTACTAATGATTTATATTAAATATTAGTATTTTATCTTGTGTTAAGTATGAATGTGATGTGTTGTTTACATATAATGTTGTAAGTTACTAGACATGATTTCAGTCCATCTCTGCGGTGACATGAAATTAGAGTCTACTTAATAACATTCATTCTCTGGGATGCATTGTAAACTTGAAATATAGGTTGTCATTTGTAGTAATGTTGTATCATTAATTGGTACAGTTGGTACTAAAATATTGGTAGTAGACTGTGTTGTTGCAGTTAACAGCCCCTTATTTATCAGTTTTGTTGGGGGAGACTAGATTGTTCAGTACTCCAGCTTGTGTTTGCTGCCCTCAGCGGTAATTATTTGAAACATGGTGGGATACTGTGAAGATGGACTTTCCCGGAAGTCGAAAATACGGCGATTCGCATGCGCTCCCTTGCCGTTTTGGGGTGTAACGTAAACTTGCACACTTGATAATGATATTGTGCTTCTGGGTGTACCAATCGACGTCACAAAAACAACATTTTTTTTCTTTCGACTATCAGCCAACTGATGTTGTTGTTTGTTTTTTTTCAACCATGACAAAGTAGGAGTATTTTTACACCCTAGTCTCGCTACTTCCTGGAAACTGAAGTAGTCTATGGGATAGCAGGCACAGTTTTTCCTGTAAAAACTAAGAAGCTTGCTGGGCGACCAAAGTGGGAACACGGTAGTATAGGGTTGTATACAGATATAAGCTGAATGGTGGAACACATCCACCCCCAAATAATTCTGTAGTTGGTTAGTTATTAACATCTATGTTATGCAAGTTGGCTCTATTAGGCCCCAACAAACTGCGGAGAAGACATTGATAAAATGTCAATAAAATTAAGCTCTAGTCCTTATAATAAAGAATTGAGAACACCTCTATATAGCCTGGAGAGTAAATATGAACAACAAGTTTAAAATGAGAGAAGGAAATATATTTGAAACTTGATGAAAACCTAAAAAAAAATATCCAATCTTGTAAAGAAAACGCCCCTGTCAGCAGCCTGGATCAACTAATATCCAAATAAAAAATTCCAAAAAATAAAAAAAAAAGCTTCAGACGTGACTAGAAGAACTAATGAGGTAATAAAAAACAGCAGCAATATACTTATTAAATCAATACAACAATTTTTACTATGATATTAAAAGGTGGTCAATTTCCAAATTCGTGATTTTTTTACATTATTACATCAATTACAAAAAAAGAGTTTAATCAGACCCCGAAAATAATATAGGAATCACCCTTTTAAACAACAATAAAACGAAGATTAACAAATAACTTTACCGGTATTATTAAAAAATTACTATGCTAAAATAAGTGGGTTAATTACTGTTGAAAGTTGGGTCTAGATGTGAACGTAAACGTAGGTAATTCTGTAGTGCATGCATTGTCTTTATTAAGTTACAGAAAGTGATAAAAAATCAAATTTAAAATTAATAATCTTGAATTGAAAATTGTTCCATAATTCAAACTGAAAACAAATTAACTGCCAGTGATTAGAACACAAGATGATCGCAAACATAGAACCATAAAAGCGATGTTTAAATAAAGTAACTTCTCTTCTCTCTTAAAATTACACCTAAAAATGTTTGACTCCATGGTAAAACCAGTTCTGCTTTACTGTAGCGATAAGTGATTGGATTTGTCATTCAGACATCATTTTTAACCTTATGTCCCGATTGAAAATTTACACTCCAAAAAACTCAGGTAATCTCTAAGGTCACAAACTTAGCATGTCTACAAGAACAGAATGAATACATTTATAGGATAAGCACAGTCCCTCAACAATAAATTATTCCAAAAAATTCCAAGTCAAAGAACTATTATTTTCGCACGGTTTTGGCTTTGTTTGGTTAAACCAAGGCGTGGAAGATAACTGTTACTTTTTGTAACTATTCACCCAAAGAGTTCATGATATGTATAAACAAACTTGGTTTACAGATCTCAACAACTATCCTAAACTCGATAAATACAGAGATTTTAAAATCTATTTCGGATGTGAAAAATATTTGCATTTAATAAAAGATAACAAGATACGTTCTGCGCTATGCCAGCTTAGAACATCATCCCACAACCTTCGGGTTGAATCTGATCGTAAATTAAACATACCGAGGAATATGAGAATCTGTAAATTATGTAATTTAGGGTTGGTTGAGGATGAATACCTGAATTTTTGCCTTGTATGTCCACGTTATAAAAATCTTAGATCTTTTCTACTTCTTGTTGAAAACCGCAAGTCCAATTACTTTGATATTACATATATAGGTACTACCTGTGGATCTCTCTCATATTTTTTCATTTCGTGATGATATCTTTAATTCTCTAATTTTCATGAATATTTTTGTTCATTTTGGTAAAAAGTGATATTTGTGACTTCTTGTTGAAAACCGCAAGTTCAATTGCTTTGATATTACATATATAGGTACTACATGTGGACCTCTCTCAGATTTGTTGATTTTGTGAAGATATTTTATTTAACCTGTTTTGTCCCACACATGCTACTAACGAATTTTTGTTAAAAGATGTTTCATGCCAGTCATTTTCTATATTATCAAGATGTCACGCAGATTTAAACCAAGCTTGTGTGCTTCAGTACGCTCCTGTCCTTTTTTATAGCTGGGTCAATTACGTTCACACTTGACAGGTCGGCGACATCTGCACTCTAGTTAGATGGAAAGTCTAAACAAAATCTGCTCAACCGTCGCCGCGGCAACAGATAAATTGATAAATTGTGATCGTAGCTTCATGAAAAATATTACTTTGAATAAAAAATATTTCTAGATATAGATTTCCGCCACATGATACTGCTGTGTGCCTTTTGATAATAGTTGGCTTAGATATGGAAGTGAGCTTAAACATGCATTCACTGATTGTAGCACTCACGTTTGCAAGTACACCGCTCACACGTGCAAATCAGAGTGGGAATGTTCTCATGTGCTAAATTCATTCACTGTTCACCGAAAATAGTGATGAAAGTAGACTGTTCACACGGACCAACCACATTCACTGTTCATCGAACGGTGATATGGAAGTACGCTGTTCGGACGTGTCTGATGCACTTGTTGTGCACCGAAATAGTGATATAGGAAGTGGGTCGGGAAAAGGATGAGCAGTGTCGATGCACCGTTGAACATATATTGTACCAGTGTTCCGAGAATCAAAAAACATTCAGGAACGTATTTATAAGATACCTCAGTTTGTCTTCTTGAATCAGGAAAAAGGAGACCAAGATAAGTCTTTGGGATTAATATAAAGAATTAATGACACAGCAGAGTCATACAGCGACAACAGATGTCGTCACAAAATATTCATGGGTAAATGAATCAAACTTCAATATAGCCAGATCTGAAACAAAAGATCTTACTAACCATCCACACGCACATACGCCGTGACATGGGTACCAAACTAGGTTTCTTATGCTGTAAAAAGAAAAGAAGTCGATGTCGTCGATTTGTCACAATAGTTTCTGTTCTAATTGTCATAGCAACCTTTATGAACAAATCCACCAATCGACAAGCACGGGATATAAAGAAGGATCAACAAAAACTGAAAGCGAAATTGCTGGAGGACGGTTTGAGTGAGACATGCGAAGCTGTCAAGGAGACGATCGCACTTTACTCTTCGGGTAACCACTTGACGTATATGGTTAACGGGATGTGCGTGATAGAGAATGGAGTATATTGGTCAGACGAAATTCAGATGCTGGTTCCTCCAAGTGAGTATTGTAGTAGTGAGTAAGCTCGTGACACGTCTTTGAAAGGATATAATATAAAATTGCAATATTTGTTTTATTGACTATCAAAAAACATACTCATATCATTCACCACTAAATGAAAATAAATGAAAACTATACATATTTCGTTGCATTCATCGATTGCTTCAAGTTATTCCGCGTTTAGCATAACTTGTTGACAAGTCAGTGGCAAACTCTACGTATGTGAATTTGTTTTACTGTATCTCAACAGGCCCAACATTACATGATGCATTGAAAGACGTGGAACGTTTAAGAGAAACTGACATTTCTGAAATCAGTGCTTACGCCACCGCCCGACTGTGTCCATAGTAGTTGTAGTTCCCCGTCCAATGCAAAAGCATTAATGTCAGATGGAACCATGGCTTACGTAAGATATAAATCCACGTGTTGGCTCTATGGTAAGTAATAACAACATTGTTTGTAGCTGCTAATGTTAAGTTTATTTTACGTGATCAACTAGTATGTATGCCCACACTCCATGGTAATATGATGAAATTATTTGCACGTATCTGTTTACTAGATACTAGCTGATTACTAGCGAATGGCTGTGTTATGTCTGTCATCGTTTCGGCCCATGCGAGGTTCTGGACGGAACTTGGTTCAGTGATTTGAAACTAATTACGAGATAACCGTCGCTATCCGGACTACTATTTCTGACAGTTTGGTATTCGCAGTTATTAATGTAGTGGACGATTAATCAAAAGATATGACGTGTTCAGTACTTAGTGTAATTGGCTTTGTGATTGAAGGTTACGTCCTAGAGTTTTTTTACTGCTTTGTAATTGGTTAAGGTTTTGAAAATGAATAAAGTTGTTTGAGTTGGTCTTGGCGAGTACACAAAGAGAGACGCAGTCCTGGAGAGTCTTGGGGCGAGTCTTGACGCAGTCTTGTGACAGAGTCTTGAGTCAGCCTTGCGATAGTCTTGGGGATTTTCCCCCAGGGCGCTGTGTCTTATAGAGACGAGAGTTGAACCGTATTTTGTTGTGTGCGTTTATTTGACTGTAAAGTTTAAGTGACTTTCCCGATCCCATACCTCAAGGGGACGCGATAGAGAGACGAGACGAGATTTCCCCCTGACAGTAACAGAGGGAAGGAGAGACGGTGGTATGCCATGCGTCCAGGGCAATGAAAATGGTACGTTATAAATACTAAATACCCACTTTTTACAAAACATCACATTTGATTAAATAGTTAAATTAAATACATTAAATCTAATATGTCACATAGACAGAATAATGCAACAATCCTCCTGTAATGAAATTAATGACAATTAACGTGCTTGACTCAGACTAAAGTGATAAATGGCTATACTAGTAATATTTGAATAAAAAATGCCAAGCTGAATTAATTATGAAAATTCAACATTATTGTTGTTGGGGACTGTGTAACACACGACATAACGCACGTAAGACCTTAACTGACTTAAGCCTTTAGTGTTATTACCCGATAATTCCATGATATTGCCTGCCTTGGTCTTGCTATTTTGGCGAGTTATATTGTTTAACGGCAATCGATTTGGTAGATGGTTGTAAGTGCAATTGTGGTGATGTCTCCAAAGTCCGGTATTTCATTCAACACATAGTCAAAGCATTTAGAGAAATAAATTTGGACATTGCGGCGTAAAAAAATACGAATCTATTAGTAACACGCTACACATGGAGTCGGGGTTAGGAGCATTACTATATAGTCGCAATACTTTCAGTGAAAGAAAGGCACAATTCAAACCGAAACGACGAGTTTCTATTGGCTAATTCACAGTCCCCGTGGTTGCTTGAATAATATTGAAGCGTTTCCACATGACGTCATTGTGCAATGTGCTCGTTGATTGGCCTGTTTGACTTAACTACCATTGAAATTTATAACTAATTATAAAGATTAAATGAATATCTTTATTGCGCCGAGAGTATTCTCATGACATACTGAATAAAACCAAGCAAAAGGATCTGTTTTAAATGTGGTGAAATTGTACTAAAATCTTGAATATGGGCGTTGTTTGGTTAAAAGTGCGTGTGGTCGGGCCAACAAAGTAAAGTGGGCGTGGCTTATAACTCATTAGCTGAACTGTTTTGAGGAAAGGTCCATTAGCTGAAACCACTGGTTTAATCACACAGTATGTTCATTCTGTTTCCGTAATGTTGTTCTTTTATATGTTTACATAACTTTGATATTTCTGTTGCGTCATCACAACCTTCTGCACATCAAATGATGACTGGGGATGTTTGATTGTGGTAGATGTCGCCAGCAAAATGAGCACCCGGTTTACCGTATTTCTCATAGAATCGAACATTTGCCGACTGCGCAGGGCCAACGCAGATTGATTGCGTTTGACCTTTTGAATCAGAGGGTTAATAAGCCTAAATTCAAAATGTTTACCCCCCTGATTATATTTCATTTGTCAGTTTTGGCGGTCTGTAGTGACATGAGAAAAGTTACTTGGGTCCATGTTACATATTTCATGAGGTACGATATCAGATTGCCTTTGTATCATTTCCAAGGGTGCCTTACATGTCTACTAGTTCCATCTTCTAGTTCCCCATAGAAGTTTTGACGAAAGATGCGATTTAGAGATATAGTGGCGACGTGACTAGACTCACTAGTGCGTTTGGCTTTCGCAATAGAAGATTCTACACTACTGATGTTAGCTCATTCGAGAACACTGTATCAGAAACCATATTCTTCCCACTCATTTAGCAGATATACCTCTGAGGCGGAAACTCACAACTTGGAGTTTTTTTAAAATGTCGACGACAACATTCCCACGTTTCGACTGACTGACTGATTTGTATACTGCAAATTCTGTTGTCAAGGAGATGTTTGTTTTATGTCAGAGATTCGATTATCTAGCGTTTATGTCTTATTACAGTGTTTCCAAGATATCTTATTTGTCAACGTTGTTTATTCAGATTATTCAGTATTCTTGAGGGCAGATTTGGCGGAAAAAACTTCCGTTTTCTGAAGGATTACTATTTAATCTGAAATGTTCACAGAATTGAGTTGAATTTTCTAGCGTATGTAGCATAAGGGCAGAGTCATTAGCGAACAGGTACCTTGTGAGAGCGCTTCTGAATTTAGTATACAAACTTCGATTAATGTTGGTAAACACATAAATAAACGATATACTTATTTCCATGAAAAAAAAATTTTTTTTTATTTAAAAAAATGTTTGTACAGGTATTTAAAGTGCCTTTTTAAAATTAAACTGGCATACATCCCAGACAGAAAACGTATGTGTGAAATGATTTTGTCAGTTTTTTGTATTAGCCTTGTCGCTCTGTTTAGACAAATTTGTAATTTATGAAGATGTTTTTTTTTTCTGCATTGTCAATGATGACATCACAGTAGTCAAACAAAGGCAGAATACTCGTTGTTTAGAACCAATAGTCATAAACTATATTTTAGTAACATTTAGACCGAGCTTAATAGTATTGATATAAAATGATAATGAAGAATGTTTACTTTTAACCTTGTCTTGGAGATCAGAGGGTGGTGCTGGGATAAGGTCAAGTGCAATATCATCTGCATACATAGTAATATTAGCAGATGTTTACATAAAATCGATTCAAAATCGATTTCTGGGAAATTTGATGACAATTTACCTTTTATGTTCTTCACCTGTGAGCTACAGTCGCTGTCGCACACGTACACTGTGTTACTAACGATTCGATAGGTACGACACAATGACACTCAGACCAACTTGAAGGCGTTTCAATTGTTTTCAATTAAAATCCTGTGATCTAGAGCGTCAAATTTTGTTACAAGATAGATGGATTTGGATGATTCTTGATTGAAACAGTTTATTTCATATTTTTATAAAATTCATGAAGTATGAAAAGCAGTTTCCAGACTTATTTATGACGTAATTATAGCGGCGTTGAAATTCAACAGTTTCGATGACCGTTCACTAAAATTCAAAACTAACCACTCAAAAGTCAAAATGAAGAAAGCTGGGTTAAACAAACGTATTTATCGTCTATTAATTGCTTTTATTGGTTAAAAGTTGTTACGCTCCATCCTCGAAGGGATGTTACAACATTTACGTGTTCTCTTATTATACAGTTGTCCACGTGTTATTACACCACTGAGCGCTGATATCAAAACTTGTTTGTTTTTTATTCACTCCAGGTGAAGTGATGGCGTTTTATTTCTCCCTGGTAATGTGTATGAATAGTGTACCTCCAGTGATCCTTGTCAGAACGGACGTTACTCGACGCCAATGGAGTGACACCTTCGTACAGGCTACGGTGAAATTGCAAGGGTGGGCGCCCACCGCGCCGGTCTCTTTGATGCGTTGGATATCGAATTCGTCAGAAAGGTGAGTATCAAATATCATGTAAATCTCAGTTCACATGGATTTATCGAGAGGCTTTATATAAAATATTTGTAAATTTGTGTGTCGCCTCTGTTCTTAGTACCTTCATGTAGCAAAAACCTCGTGGGCAGTGGATTGTGTTTCATTCAATTATTGAAATATACAAGTTACAACATACGTTGTATACTTTCAAAAACGTAAATAGGTGAAAGGAGTTGATCTTGTTTTTGAGCGATGTTCGCCGGTTGATTATTATTTTAAGAGATTTATTCTATTCTAATTGACGAGCGACTTCACATCAAAACACAGTCGTCGCTTGGAACTACATTGCTTTCATTTAATTACGTGTTTTTGACATCACAGAAATGTTCCGCCGTTAGAGGACACTACGTGTGAAACCGGTATATCTACTAGTATATTGTCTCTCAGTTCGTAAATGTATCATATTGTGGAATAGATTCAATTATCCATCGTATGAGATTATTCTTTCATAGCGGGGTCGGTTCTATCTCTGATGCAATGCATGTACTTTCCCGGCTTTGGCCAAAATCATGGTGCTGCATCAGAAAGCCATGAATGTCTTTCACTGCATATTCCATGCCATTTTTGTTTTGTAAATTTAAAATGAAGGTTGAATAAAATCTTAAAACTTTTGACGTGGTCTTTGATCCATCACAAACATCTCTAAGTTACCTGATTGTTTAACAATTTAAACGTCATGATAAGCGCAAAGAATCATGGGTAATGGGTGTTGACAAAAACTTCTCCGGCCAATAAACACTTTTTTCTGTTTTTAATGTATCGTGATGATAATTAAATCGTTCATAGCTTTCTGAAATACATCGTACCCCATTTATAAGACGACATACATGCGAACGCTCCACCTAGTCTCTTTTAATAAATCAACACATACGGTTTGGAGGCTGATATGTAATCCTATCTCTGATAAATGATCCTAGCCCGAAGGCTGAAAAAAATGGATTATATATATACAGGCTTAGGATTTAGTTCTGATTTCAGGTAATCCAATTGACGTATTAAACACCCGTGCATTACGCCCCCCCCCCCCTCCCCTGATGCATGTGTTGCATGTATTGTGAATGTCTGTCGTTTGACTGTTAATTACGTACGGCTGTTTCATCTCTAATCTGGCAAACTTTATGGGACTTTTGAAGTTCATAGTTTATCCAAGATTAGGGTTTAACTTTAATCTCACTAATTCAATTAAAGTCCAAAATGCAACAATGATTACTTTTAAATTGGTTAATTTATTGCTTTTAACCGTTTTGTGTTCTGTATGTTTTTTTTAAGCATATACTTAAATTGCTACACGCTGTATTTTATAAATGGTCACCGCACACTTACATACGTAATGAACAGACAGTATAATTAATTGACTTGTCTTTTGTAATGAAAATTTGGTGGCGTGTGCGATCTTTAATCTGATAACGGCGCGTTATATACAATAAAACAACGTGTTTAGACATCCATATATATTCACATTCTAATATTTCAACTGTGTACATTTCAGTTTGCTCATTCCAAGTATATTAGTAGAAGGGAGTGGTTTTCTACATCCGAAGAATCCACAATTCGAGGATATTTTCATCGGTGACTTTAATCTTTTATTGCAATACACAGACATGATGGTGTTCGACTATATTACAGCCAATAACGATAGGTAAATGTTTTCTTTTTAATTGCAAGTCATGTTAGACTTCCAGGCTAGCAGCCACTCTCTACCGCTGAAGATAACAATAGCGTTATAATTAGCTTTCATATACTACGGCCGTTACTGATTATTCGTGTTCCAAGCCTCGCTTTCACATTGACGGAATATATAAGCGGCGGCTGGTTCACGTATCGTATCGTATCGTTTCAGGCGACCCGTAAGTGAAGTTTGCAGTGCACATTAATCAGCAATGGCCGCCATATGATAAACGCGAATTGGCATGTCTCGATTGCGAGGTTTCACTAAAAGTAGAATGACGTCATAGAACGTGAAATTTATTTATTTATTTATTTATTTATTTATTTATTTATTTATTTATTTATTTATTTATTTATTTATTTATTTATTTATTTATTTATTTATTTATTTATTTATTTATTTATTTATTTATTTATTTATTTATTTATTTATTTGAGATACCAACAGGTTTTCCCAATTACAGACACTCATAAAATACAAATACAACAATATTTACAAAAATAATATAAAAGAAAAGAAAAGACCCAAAGCTCAACTTATGGCATTTAAAACAGAAGATGGACTCGTAAAAATGTTTACTGAACCAACAATATAAATACAATTTAACGTCATTTCAAACAAACGTTAATATTGTCTTTGTGTTTTGTAATGATTTTGATGGCAGAGATTTATAATTATAATTATAATTTCCCTCGTGACAGTGCAAGGTGTCACCCAAAAGTGTTTCTACAGTCAGCACGTACAGAAACGGTCGTACTTTTCTGTATTTCTTTGCACTATACCTCTCTAGCTAAAATAAAGCTCATTGTGTTGGGCACTTGTTTCTATGACCGGCAACACGTTTATGCTTTTCCCCCAATGGTTCTTTCCAGCTACAGACATATTGCAATCATACTAGTTATATGGAATCCTTGTATTTATTTAAAACAACTATAGATTGACATAATAATCAACTTAATTTTGTGAGACAATGTTTTTCACTGTCTGTTTTCTGTCTGTCTGTCTGTCTGTCTGTCTGTCTGTCTGTCTGTCTATCACTGTCACCACTTTCTCACTTTCTGGGAATCCCACCATTGGTGAATAATTTAAAGCGCGGTAGTCGTTGCGCTGCGCATGTGCGAGATATATGGGTCTCATATAAACAAAGATGGCGACTTTGACTCTTGCGCAGATAAACGAGTACGAACTGATACGTTTCCAAGCTTTAATTAGGTAATTTTCATTTGATTGGAAGGTAACGAAGGAGTCACCGGCGGTAATCAGTGCAAGTCGCGCTCAGGTCAAACCTCATACTTGTGATTTCCATTTGAAGAGCGCATTGGATTGTGGGAAAATCAATGTTTATCAACACAAGTATCGAACATGCGCAGCGCGACGACTACCGCGCTTTAATCTGCATATTTCATGTTCTCGTTACAGATTAGTCTATCATTTGTTCTATTACGTACTGCATAACGATACCAATATGCTGACCATGACCACACATAACCTGCAGATAAAAGACCGTAGACTGTGGTTGGTCGACAACGAGGGCAGCTTTCCGATAGGTTACGACTTTTTGGATACAAAATTATACAACCTAAGTATGTTTTTCACCAATATGCTTCAGTCTTCCTGCGTCTTTCGAAAGGAAACAGCTGCTAGAGTTGCAATGCTTCATCGTCATGGCAACACAGCAAAGTTACTGTTGGAGATGATAAACTCCCACAATGCAATACCAGATATAGGTTACACTCGTGTCGTTTGTGAAGAACAGTCCGGAATCATGTACGATGTAGAATGGGCGGAAACACTGCAGAAAAGAGTCGAAGACGTATTCAAATGGATTGAACTGTGTAAAACTAAATCATACCAAGAATTAATGGAATTGAGGAATGCGTCTTTGTTTATAGACAGTGAAACAATTGAGATATGGAAGAATACCATGAAACGAAACAAGATGAAGTATACAGCTGAAGAAAAATAAAAATTTGCTGACCCGTGATAGTGTACATTTAGTCTTTGCAAAATTAAAGCGCGGTGGTCGTCGCGCAGCGCGTGTTCGAATTTCATGTAAATAAACAATGTATTTTACACGCGTTGTATACGTCGCTATGAGTCCCATAATTTGCATGAAGTGGGAATATTGAATCGATAATAAGAAAATATTAATAGTATACGCCGTATCAGATATTCGACACTCTAGGTGCTATTTTATTTACTGATTAAAAACGAGAGTTATTAACACAATAAAACAATTTCTTTCTTTGTTTATAAATATTCATAAATTTCACAAACTGAAATGATAGTGTGTTTTTTTGCCAGTAAAAGGACAGTTTAGCCAACTACTACGACATTTTCTATTTCTTGGCGTTAATTTATAATTAGTAATTAGTTCCCAGTTTTGTTTAATTAAAATATTGTTTCGTTTGATAACACTAATAACGTTCCATTCTATTGCACCACTCAAAAAAGTTTATTATAAGTTTATTATATGTTGTTTTAGTATTTTTACCAAAAATATTACTATATGTTGTTTTTTACTATAAGTGCGCACAGTGTTTGGTTACCAATAAAAAGGCTTTTAAAGCATTTTCAATAAAATTATCGCTTGTTTCAAAATCAATATCAGTATGGTACAGATAAATATACCGCATATATAGCTCTAACTTTACAAATATAGATATATAATCGTGAGGTGGACGGTTGACATGTAGGTTGTTATTGCGTCTATCGGCAACGCTTTAGGTAGAAGCCTACTCATGATTTCAAATACCCAGAATTTATTCATTTTTTAATAAATTGTACTGTAATAAATTGTATAAGAATATTGACTTTAAAAAAATTGGAGGTCACCAGGTTAATTTTCTAGAAAATCATGGTTGTATTTTAGTGGATAGCGGCCATTTTGACAGTACTGTGCTTTTACCATAAGTTCCCATGGAAGAGATATTATGCCATATCTCAAATTGTAGGCTAGTGACACAGGCTGAAAAAATAAAATATTGTTAATGATGAGGTACTTTTTGTTTTCCTGACTTTTTTCAACAATCTGGGTTTTAAAAAGTGTTGAAAAATGCAATTTTTGTTTAACATTGCGCTCTATGGTATTGTTCTAAAAATAGCGATTTTTGAAAAAAATATTAAGACAAGTTTCTCAAAATACGCCACTGTAACACACAAAAGAATGCTATTTCAATGTGCAATGGGACAATAGATTCATGGTTTTACATAATAAACTAACGAACCTTGACATGCGATTTATGACCAACTTTCTCTACCTCAACCTTTTCACCACCGTGACCAGATTACCTCGCCCAAATTTTCTGCATTTTTTTTCTTATATTCATCAATATTTCTGGAAATTAACCCTAACTTTAGAGCCAACAGACAACATTTCTTCTGAAGGAAAGTGCAGACTATAAGTGGGACTATTTTGTGAAGTTGTGATGAAAGGTTAATGACCATTTGTAACATCTAATTACATATTCACTATTATTTTTATATATGGACTCTTATAGCACTGCAAACCCTCGATAACACCGACCATGTATCAGAGCGATATAGATGAGTTATGTTCTCAGAGTGATGCCAATATTTATATATGGCTTAGAATAATAGTGAATAACGTATGTATTGTAGTTTTTCTCTAGTCTTGTTCATTTTTTTGTATTTTTTCATCCACGAAAACAATCAATTACTAGTAACTGGTTGTTCAGTGGGCATTGTGTTTAGTGTTAGTAAATATCAGGATTATTGAGACCACAAACCAGGGTAAGCATTTTCCATACAAATACAACATCATAATCCCATCTTCAGTAGTTCGTGTTCTTTTTTAATAACACATATGTTTGTACAATTATAATGTACATAGGAGTTCTCCGTACAAACCCTGAAATGAAATGAATCAATGTTCGGTTAGTAAAGTGACACATGTGTGTGAATATGGAATGGGATTTATTTCAATCATGTATCCGGCAATAACTTTCAAGCTGAAAGTGGTAGTTGTGAAGTTACTGCTCTTCAAGAAACCAACTGATCATTTTCTTCAAACTTGTGACTAATCTTTTTTTAGAAACAGAATAAAAACAATTGCCATCCTCTAAAGTTTCGATGTAGTTTTTGTCTATTTTCTTTTTTCCAGGGTTATCAGATGATGTAAACAGTCAGGATTGCTAATTACACACTGACTGGTTATTTTCAAATTTAACTCATTTGCATAACTGTATGAGCTTCCCTAGCCATTAGAGAAAGGGCAGCTATGTTTTTATATACTCGTTTTTAGATATACTTTGACTCCTTAGTTGTGGTGGAATAGACTCGAAATTGATAAAAATGTCCCTGCATTTATCAACTGAATGTACATTTTGTCTGTTCACTGTCAAATCTTTTTTTTTTCTAATTAGAACTGAAATAATAAAACACTACAAAGATTACGTCATATTTATAATTCTTCATGACATCAACAAGTATATGTACATGTTATTCACGGCCAATACTGATAAACATGGTTTTGCGAAGCGCAGTATTGATATTTGTTGTGCTCCTCAAAATTGTTCACTCGTTATATGATGTATGCCACCATGCTAAAAACACCGGACATCCCATAGTGCACAACTTTGGCCGATGCCCAATTCATCTATTAATCATCGCATTTCAATATGGTATTTCATGACTCATGTAACATGTTTCAAGTTCAACACTACGATAAAGACATTGTGAAGTTCTTTTATGTTTTTTTTCATGACTGAAAACGAATGATTTTGACAAATAAATTCAGAAATACATTAAGAATAATCCACGGCATAAATGAAATGTATGCCATATGCACAACAATCATAATTTTCATCCTGTTTACGCATGAATATTATTAAAAATAAACCATAATTTGCTATTTTTTCTATTTAATGCATTTAATTTGTCTTGAATTATGATTAAAATTACAACCCTTGTATCAAAAATAACTTATCCCGTTCTGTGTCCTTGCGATTCTTTGTGTGTGCTGCCCCCAGCGTTGGTTGTAATAATAACAACAGGGAATTCAGGGTTATCAACGTCCGGGTCAAGTCGGGTTGAAGTCGTTATGTTTTTTATATGTAAATAATAAGGGTGCGTACGTTGTTTTATTGTATAATTTACAGTTTACATTGCAAGAAATTGTATGCAAACCATTCAAATGCAGAAGCGATGTCCTTGTGCTAACATTTCTAGCTTTCATTAACACACCAGAATCACCATTTTTGCTATATAATAATTTTAGTTGCGCTGAGTGTGCAAAAAATGTAAATTTTCATTATTTAGTCTAAACAGTATCAATATTCGTATTATTTGTATACAAATCTAGCTTGCATTATTTATTTATGAACAATTTTGAGACCCTCATTTTTTTATAACTCATGAAAACGCCACCAACGTTCATGGTTTGCAAATAAAGTTATATTCGTCGAGTTGCAATTATTCATACAAATTGATGTTCGCGCTTCGCTATTTACATTCAATGCGCTTATACAAATTTATTTAGCAATGAAATAAAAAATACACAAGTCTGTATTATTATTTACAAATAACGAGATTACTTAAATAATGGTATAATGCATTTTGCTGCATGATATGTAAATAATATTACACACTTTTCTGATTTTATACTAAACACAATTGTTTGTATATAAATCACATAAATATTTGAGTAATGAAAGTAAAATTATTTATAGATAATAAAATGTACATAAATATATTATATATACATAATAGTCTGAATCTTATTATTTATAAATAAAACAAACATGTTAACTTATGATTTCTGTATAATTGATTTGAAATATCATTATTTATTAATAATGAAAAATCAGGGAATTGTTTACATATAATAAGCTTAAATCCATAAAAAACGACCATTTATTTATTTATTTATTTATTTATTTATTTATTTATTTATTTA